TTTTCTCTTACATTAGTAATTCGTTCATACACTAAAGTGAAGGAAGTTAAGGCCAGTAAATAATCGATTTGTCATGCATAGGCAGGAAAAAATGATTTGCAATCGCTCAATAAAAATTTTTTCCTAAAGAGATTTCTTAGTAGATACTGTCAACCTTGCATGTCTTTTGAATAAGATGATAGTTTTTCAATAACTGATAGATATGGATGCTGATATTGTAATTTTGGACTTTATGACTCTTAAAAATTAATGTGAAAGCAGAAAAATTATGTTATCGAATAAAGTTCAATTGTTTAAACAGATAAACAGCAAACGAGATAGATTTTGCTACGATCACGTCAGTAGATCGATGTGAATGCGTACAAAGGAGAGATTTGACCCAGATTGAACGGATGCGGTTACGAGGACACTCGCTGGTTACGATTGTTGCTCTTCTTTCAACAATTTACGTGGATGACGTGATTAAGTTGTGGAACAGACATACTTCCGTAAATTCTTTTGTGGAAGAAACGTCTGTGTGTAGAAGCTATGAATGCTTCTTCATAAAAATAATTTTTGAGGGAATATCCAGTAATTTTCTACATTTATCAGTGTTTCATGTTGTTTTTGGATTTGATTTACGAAAAAAAGGCCATTTGCAACTTTTAGTTAGCTCTCAGGCCTTCCCATAAAAGCTCCCTGATTGTTCCAGGGCAACAAAGCGATCTCTACAGAACAATTACCGCCTTTAAGAAATTCTATATTTTCAGCCCAATGAATTTGTTCCTAGAGCCCGTGGACATCAATTGAACCCATTGATGTTCCAATCACAATCGACCGCGCCGCGTAAGTGGTCGTAACGCCTCGCTCGCCCTATCCTTAGGAGTCGAAGGTAGTCAAAATCCAAATACGCCTTGCAGCTTTGGTTTCATATAATAGACTGGTCTATACGCCATTGAGTACAAGTAAAGATGTGCGCAGTCGAGCGGCTACCAATTCAAGACAGATACTGTGAACAGATTTTAGGAAATCTGCCCTCATCATATGAAACGGTGGCACCGCGCTTCTCTATACTCCTGCTTTCTTTTCTATATTTAATCATACTCCACGGTATTTTTAGCATCTGTTATGTTGTGATTCTGTACCTCTACAAATATTTGTGTAAAGCATGCTGTTGTTTTGATTTTCACGTGGCGGGATGTTTATGCTCACACCCTTGCGCGAGTGATTCCGAAACCTCACGACAACAAGTTATAACGAATCCACCGTAGCATGGTAATGCCGAACACCAAAATTTCTTATTTTCCAATATTACGAGCTTTCATGAATTTCAGTCGTGAGAGAAAATTATTTATTAAATAAATAAGCACAAAACGCATATAGAGGTAATAAGGACTTCGCAAGGTTCGAAATCTCTAACTTGTATATCCATTACCAAAATACAGTATGTACACTACAGCCACACTTGAAAACTATCGCCCTTGCAACAGTTCAGCGTT